TTTTTATTGACCTCCCTTTTGAAAAACCAGTTGAAACCTGCATTGCTGGGTAGCTTTTTTGCGCGGCGAATGGCTCGGCCATCAGGAACCGTGGGCCGCGAGTTATTGCTGGGGGAAATACGCGAGAAGGAATTCGTGGTATATCTGCCCACCCAGGTAGCTGACGTTTAAAAAGTGCTCGGGTCTGCGCGTGAGATGGTCGAAACATGGCAATGCGTGGCGTTCGGTCGAGGCGCAGACGCGCGATCCTGCAGTTGCCCCGAACGCGAGGCAACGCGGCAGCGGATGGCCGCGCGCGATCCCGAAAGGGGCCGCGAGTCAGGAAAGGGCGAGGACCATGGTTAGCACCTCGGTTAGTTGCTTGCGCGCCTTCCCTCGCCAGCGCGCCCGCACGCGACGCCGGCGGCAAGGCGGCCCGCGAGAGGCGCCGCGGGCGCCAACGCAGCGAGGCGTCGCCCGAGTTCGAGGAGCGCGCGCAACGCAGTTGCAGACTCCTTCCACGCGGGGAAGTTCCAGTTCCGACCTCGAAGCAAGATGGGTGGGCGTTTTTTTTTTGGGGGGGGCATGGGGCAAGCCGAGTGTCTATAGTAGGCAGACGGGACAGCGTCGCAAAATCTCGAAAGTTCAGGCATGGTGAATGCGAGGAAGAGGGGTGGGGCCTAGAAGAGGTTGCCAGCATGAGAAAAGGGTCACCTAGGCTACCGGACCCCAACGCATGTGGAATGGGCGTTCAAGCCAGAGTGACCGTGCCCACGGCGGTGCCGAGTCAGGAATCGGCTGCCGATGCCGAGCCAGTAGTGGCTCGAGGGATCCCAGTTAGCATGTCGGAGTACACGGCGATGGGGCCATTTCCAAGTCGCCAAGGCCGCAAAGGAATTGCCGCGCGGGGCGCCGCCCATCAAGCCCACAGTTCAGGCTTGCGCGAATTAGGCACCGAATGGCTGTGAAGACGACGACCCATACGTCCAGGAGAGGTTAGCGGCGGCTCAAAACGTGGATGGAGACCGACAGCACCAGGCAAGACAATAATAGGGATGAACCGTTGACAGCTAACTGGACAGTGACAGTCGGGTGAGCCTGTCGACAACATCGCGAATCCAGAACGCACGCGTCCCTAGAGACATAAAAAGTTCAAGCCCCTAAGCGACTTGACAGTTAGAGACGGCCACGTGCAATTGATCGGGACACTGGTGGGGTGGAGGACGCCACCGACGATGGATAAATTATTGTGAGAGGGAGTTGCGAGGACTTTGGACGGGCCGGACCGATTTTCGCATCAACTTGCCATTGGTGCCAACGGGCGCCCAGCCACTGTCAATCCACCGGGGCCAGCGGCAGTTCGCAGGAAGTTAGAGGGCCCCAGAGACGACGGGAGGTTGAGAGCGGTGAGAAATCAAGAAGACGTGGACGAAGAGATGCAACAAGAGGGTCCAAAAGTTAGGGGAGGCAAAGGGCAGAATGACGAACGCATCGAAGAATGCGCGCCTGGCCATGCGAGTGAGGCGCAAGAAAACACGATCGCCGACGATGCGCGCGCCGGGTGAAACGCGGCGAGGTCTGGGCGCCGAGGTAGCGGCGCGGCTGCGCGGCGCGAGTTTGGATGTCGCTGGGGAGGCAAACGAGATTACGAGAGGCGTTAGGTTGCGCGGCCAATGCCGGCGCAACGCGCAATCGCGCGTTCCCGAGTTTGCTGCGGGCTATGGTATGGCAGGAAACTGGGACCCATGCCCTGCGCATCTATGGGCCTGTCTGCGCGCGATGAGTTCGGCAAGCCGTGGGGTTTCCATTGCGAGGCGACGCGTGCCGAAGGCGGAGGGGTCAGCGAGGGCGCAGCAGCCTCGCATCCAATTGCAATTCGAATGCGCGCGGGCTCCAGCGGGCCGCAGGGCGCTAGGGCCGGAAAATGCGAGGGCAACAGTGGGCAACGGGGTGAACTTTCAGAAATTGGCATCCGCATTGTGCGAGATGCACAGAACGCGTGGTTATGCTAGTTTTACCTCCGAACATCTTACAGGGGTCTCGATTTGGGCCGCGCCGCCATTGCATGGGATGTTAGGGCATGCAGGAGTTCAGACATAGGGCGAGGACTTGGGCCGCTAAAACTTGGGGCAAATTATACAGAAGAGAAAGCCCCCATCAACCTGGCCGATCATCGACGGCCCTTATCTCGACAGGGCTCTCAGCATGAAGCGCCAAGGCCAGCGTTGACGCGTCGAGTTAACAGGTGAAGGCCGAGCGAGGAGACCAGAGGCGCACGCGCATCGGTTGCGTCGAGCTCTTTTGGAAGGGCAGGTTGCTGCCGACGGCAGATTAGGGCGCTTCTTCAGCGCGCGTCGCCCAGCCGCTAACAGGAGCGAGCCGGGCGAGGAAAGAGAGACCAACGAGATCGGGCACGAACAGTGCCGAAGTTGCAACGGCCCCGGACCAGACGAGATCACGGTGCCTTTCGCCAGATGCCTCGGGGAAGCTCAGGGCCGCAATGGGGCGCGCGTCCGCGCGGAGCTGCTCGGGATTTAGAGGCCGACCAGCTGCTCGGGGACAGCGGTCGGCGAGATCAGAGGGGGCTTGGGGGGCGCGTTTAGAGGGGGGGGGGGGGGGGCGCAGCGCGCCCGCTGGCCCCGTCGACGGCGTTGCCTGGGTCGCCCAGCCGCGTCAGTGGATGGGCGGGGCGCGTCAAGTCCCGGGGGGGGTCGAGAACCCTGGGGGCGGGCGTGGCGCGCCAGAGCGTCGCCGATGCGCGCGCAAATGCCAGGGCGGCCATGCGCTCACTTAATCGCGAGGACGGTGGAGCGCGAGCCTGAGGCGACGCTTCGGGAGGCAAGTTCGACCCAAAACTCACGCCGAGGGCCCGCGAGAAGGAGGCGGGGCAGTTCAGGGAGCGCGAGGTTCACGAGAAAATAAAGGGCGAGGAATGCGGGGCCGTTGCCGACAAAGCCCACGCAGGCACGAGGTGAATTGGCGCGAGATAGGGCGACGAGGTCATTTCCGAGTGCGGGTCCCGCTTTGTGGCTCAGCAAGTTATGCGCATATCCACAGACAAGAACATCGGCAGCCGCCCCTCCATTGGAAGCGAAGAACGATCGTTCTCCACGGCAGTTGCCGATGGGGCTAGGGCATGGCCGGGGGGGAGCGCGCGCGGAAGGGCTCAAATAGGGGGTCGCAGTAGTCGGGCGCGCGCATTTTTACGCCAAGACCAAGAAAATCTTCGGCGTCAGATCTCCAGGAGAAGATCGGAAGCCGGGCATGCGTGGAACAGTATTAAAGTCAACGCGCGGAACTGGGGGGCGCCGCCAGCGCCCGGGAAAATTGCTGCATGGATTTCGCGCGCGACATTGGCTTCGACAGCGGGGGGGCGCCGCCGTGTGCTTTTGAGCGCAAGACAAAGCGAATATTGCAAACGGTCCGTGGGGCGGTTAATCGTTTTGGGAACGACGTCGGTCTTGACCGGTTCCAAGAGCAAATCAGAAGTGCATTCGAAATTGAAATCTGGGGCAGACGTGGACTTGTTGCAAAATATCCCCAGTCAGTCATAGTGATTCATCGGGCTGTGGAAGGAAATAAGAACGGGCCGCGGCATGGGGCGGGCCAGAGGCGCGCTGAAATATTTGTCAAGTATTGAGGCCCGGATCAGTGCAGCGCGAGGCGTGGACTGCCGCGAAAGCTACCTCGCGAGGAAGAAGACGAGGGGCCTCTGCCAAATCGTGAGTCTAAGAAATGCCAGACTTGAGTGGTCTGGGCAAAGTACCTAGCGCAGGGCCGCGAAGACATGACATGTTCAGTCGATGAGTTTGCGCGTTTCATGTCCGCCCCAACCCGAGGGCCACGGGGAAACGCTGCCAATTTGGGAAGGTACCTCAAGAACCGCATCAGAGTAGGTACCAGTGCTTGGGCCAAGAAGGCCCAAGGGAGTTAACTGCGTGGACAGGCGCCGACTATGAAATTTGCAAGACAATTCGGGATCGACAAGCGTCGGCAGTGATTCGGAGCGAATGTGACGAGGTCGTGGAGTTCGACCCAGTGATGCAGTAGCACTATCTTCTGGGAAAGCAGAGGGATATGGAATTGTGAAAGGCGACTCAGCAGCGTTAGGACTGCAAGTGGTTCTCCAGAACTTCGAGGTTGATTATGGCACTTTGTTATGGATCAGTGCAAGTGCAGCCATGGCCACCGCGAGCAGGCGAGGATTCCGAAAAGTCCGACACATCGAAGTTTGCCAGCTTTGGTAACAAGAGAGGGTTCGACGAGGAGACATCAAAGTAAGCAAAGTGGGAACTCGTGATAATTCTGCAGATGCGCGAACGGAATATCTGAGCAGGGGCCGCATGTCCGCGCACAGGAGAGGCAATATCAGGAGCATCTCGCGAATGGAAGGTATGAGGTAGCACCGGCTACGGGGCGTTAGCCCAATCAAATCCACACCCAGCTTATCTTCGCACTTATCTTGGCGCTCTTCCCGATTCTTGAGCCCACGATCAGTTGAAGCACAGGTGCTCGTCTGTGCGATTTCAAACCTACATTGCAGAATGTGTTCAAAACGTGTTGCGTAACTCTGTGTTTGGCGACATTCTTAATCGGTGTATCGCGTGTTAGGAAGCCTCTGCACGTTTACGCCCAACTGATAGTAGCTTCTTGTTTCCCCCGCTTTCGCTCTGACGTACTTCGTTACAGACCTTGACTTGCTAGGATGGAGCCCTAGCTTCGTTGCGCTGCGCATTTGTGTAGAACTCATCCGTGACCCTGTCGCTTTCGCTGTTTCTATTTCGCCCGTGTCCACATCCGGCTTATCAGCCGAGGGGCGATGTACGATGACAGCGGTCCGGGTGGGGAAGTAGGATTTGGTATGGATGTTGTACAGAACGCCGTTTAGGAATTCCAGCGGTGCATGTTAGTCGGTGGCCGCAACTGTTGGGCTCAAATTCGAGTTGCCTCCAGGGAGGCCCCTACCATATTTTCGGCGGAGGATGGAGGGTGCATCGGGCGGCCTTTCCGAGCGAGCCAGGATGCCGAGAAGAGCGCGAGCGCCAGCTTCGTCGACTTTGAGCGGTCGGCGAAGACGGACGCCAGCGGGAAGGACCTTCGTCGTTCCCCGCGGCGGGCGCGGCAGAGGTCGAATTGGGGATCGGTTGCAGATTCGAGTCTTTCCAGAATTGATGTTCCCGCCGGATTTACAAACGAAAACGTATAATACTCGCAGATGTTCGAATCTTCTATGCACTTTTCGCGGATCCGACGAAATGTCAATTCTGGGGCAAAACGGTTCTGCAACCGACCCCCTAGTCGAATACGGGGGCGCATGCCGCCACGCGCCATGTTTTTGTAACACCCATCACGCGATTCGTGCCACCACGGGGGCTCGATCTCCACATGTCCTACGGCGCGAAGCGAAGGAGGAAAAGGTCATGCACTGCGCCGTACGCAGCCGGGCAGGGCTTGGCCCTTCGCCACGCTGACTTTTGCTTCCTGACTTTTGCCTCGGTTGGGCGGCGGATGGGGAGGGGAGAGGTTCCTTCACTTCCTCTGTTTCCCCCGCGTCCTTGCCAGCATCATCGTCATTCTCGTCATCATAATCGCCGTCGTCGTCATCAAGCTAATTCGAATACGAATCATCACCATCATCAGCATCATCATTAGTATCATCATCACCACGATCCTCATCATCACCACCATCACCATCACCATCATAAGCATCAGCAGCATCATCATCATCAGCATCATCATCACCATCCGTCTCGTCTCCTGGGCCTTGGCGGGGGGCGCCTCGTCGCCACGGTTGGATCCGCCTCGAAGTCTCTCCCGGCCATCGCGCGCTCAAGGACAAGTCTCAGGGAAGGTGATTCGGGTGCCGACTCCAAGCGGAACGCTCGAGGTCTCGAGCACATGGCACTCAGCAGACATCGATAGCTCGAAAATGTATGGGGTGTGCATCCCTAATTCCAAGTCTCCTTCGCCTAACTATTCACCCCTGTGTCCCACGTCGATATTCCCGCTGTGCAGATGGGCGCTCTGAGAAATGGGTACTAGAGCCAGAAGGTGGATTCCAGCCCTTAATATCATCCGTCGACCGCGCATGTGCTTTGATGGCTGGAAGCATGTGCTCCCCTGATCAGAACCCTCCCATGTCTTATTCCCCTTGTTTCATCTACTCCTCCCCCGCCGCTTCCTCCCATGCATATGATTCGTCCTTGTCGTCGTCGTCCTCCTCCTCCTCCTCCTCCTCCTCCTCCTCCTCCTCCTCCCCTCCCACCTTCTATCGCTCCGCGTTATCCCTCTGATCCTCCCTCCCTCGCTCATTTCTCTCCATGGCTCTCGCTTGTGCGATTTTGTATTGATTGTCTTTCTTTTTGTTGTTTTTTTTGTTTCTCTCTCTCTCTCTCGCTCTCTCTCTTTCTCTCTCTCTCCCTCTCTCTCTCCCCCATACCTATACATACAATGTATGCCCGAGTGTTGCTCTCTCTCTCTCTCTCTCTCTCTCTTTCTCGTTCTCTCTCTCTCTCTCTCTCGCTCTCCCTCCACTCTCGCCTTGTGTGTGCATGTGCTCTCGCTATCAGCATATTTCCCTCTCTCTCTCTTTCTCTATGCCTCCCTCTCTGTCGTTCCTTCCCCTCTGTCCCCCTAGGTAAACAGAAGCATATACTTATATACGAGTGTGTAAATATACACACAGATGCAACCCTCTCTTTGCATACGTACACGTGTGTGCATACACACATATGCATATACATGTGTAAATTGGTATGAAAACCGTCACGGCTACCCTTGGAGTGCTAAAGAGGTTGTGGGGGGAGGGACCAATTCTTCAAGCTTCGCGTATCCCCACCAGCCCATCTCAAAACAGCAACTCTAGCGAAGCATGCCGACAGTCGTGTTTTTCAGGCGTGTTTCCGCCCGCCCCCGCATATCTCCCCTGTTCCTCCTTCCTCCCGCCTCCTTGTACATCCTCCTTGTGGTGGGAGCGGGAGAAGGACGAGGCGGAGGAGGGAGAGAAAGCGCTCCTCGTGGTTTGAGTCGTTCGGGCGTCCTGGTGTGAGTCGTTCGGGCCCTTCTTCCTGGTGTGAGTCGTTCGGGCTCTTCGTGGTGTGATCGTCCTGGTGTGAGTCGTTCGGCTTCCTCGTTGGTCCTGGTGTGAGTCGTTCGGGCTCTTCGTGGTGTGAGTCGTTCGGGCTCTTCGTCCTGGTGTGAGTCGTTCGGGCTTCTCGTGGTGTGAGTTGTTCGGGCCCCTCGTCCTGGTGTGAGTCGTTCGGGCCCCTCCTCCTGCCCGTCCAGAAACGACGCCCAGGCGAGTAGAGGGTCGTCCTGATGGGCTTTTCGGCGTCTTGGGTGCCTCGGGGGGGCCTCTTTGGGCCGTTTGGGATCCTCTTGGGGGCCTCCTGGGGGCCTCTTGGGGCCATCTTGGGGCCTCTTGGTGCCTCCTGGGCGCTTCTTGGGGCCATCTTGGAGGAAATCGATCAAAGAAGAGGGGAGCTTTACTTAGCGCTGCCCCCTCAGAAGGCCAAAATGGGGCCAAAACCTTAGTAAAATCAATGATGCTGGCTTGAAAGAAGAGGGGAGCTTCAATTAGCGCTGCCCCCTCAGAAAGCCAAAATGGGGCCAAAACCGTAGTAAAATCAATGATTTTGGCTTCAAAGAAGAGGGGAGCATTTTTCTGCCTCCCCCCGTCGGGGCCAGAATCCTCGTGAGGGGTGTCGTTTTTTAGCCCTCCCAGGAGTCGAAAAAGACCCCTCCAACCACCCGCGGGGCGCCCTCTCCAGGCCCAGGGGTAGGGGGTAGGGGGAGGGGTAAACCCCTCCCCGAAGGGGAAGAAGGGGGTTGAGAACAGAGCGGGCTCTCTAAACCACTCACGCCCAAAGGGCTGGTGGGATTGATTGAAAACCTTCACGACTACCCTTGGAGTGCTAAAGAGGTTGTGGGGGGAGGAACCAATTGATGCCAACGGTGATGATTGTGATGGTGACAAGCTGGTGATGCGCTCACGAGTTGGCTGAAAGAAATGCTTATCGATCACACGACCGATCTCACGAACGATCTCACTATCGATCCACCAACCGCCATCGCGGCCAAATAAATGCCACCCCTACTGCTGTGCGATGGTGATCGTGGTGAGGGTGAGTGTAACGAAGACAACTATCATGATCATGACGAGTATGGTCGCAGATATTCTCTGCGAACGCAGAGCCGCGCCAGTGGGTCAAGGCAGAATCTTGGCGGAGCCTAGGCCTACGCAGTCGGATATGTTAGCCTGGCAGAGCTTGAGCCTACATCTCGGTCACACTAGCCATGTTAACCTGGCAGGGCCTCAGCCTTAGCCGTCGCCTGGCAGAGCCTGGGCCTGGCAAAGGCACGCGCCCAACGCTGTACAGGACAGTTAAAGAGCGCATTACAAATGCCGTGCTCTCCTCACAATCAGAGGCATGCCTGACTTATGGGTTCCCTCTGCCCCTTCGCGCTCGCTGCTGTTGGAGCTTGCACTCTCCGCGCCTACATATCTTGCGCGGCCTGCCTGCATGCTGGACACCACTGCGCCCCTACCAGGGGCAGACCCACACCGAAGCCCGATGTTCGCCAGGCGCGCGGCCGGGCTGGGCCACGCACCTCTGCCCGCTGGAACCAACCGCAGCGGCGCCGCCGTGCCGTGCGCGCGTTTCGCAAGCGCTGTTGCCTCGTTCCCGACGACCCGCCTGGCAGAGCCCTTGGCATCGCTCGGACGTGCATTTTTCCGTCGGCGAGGACAATCGAAAAGCATCCTTGATCATTTGGCGAAAAAACCACGCACGAAACCGAAAAAAACACAGGGAATGGACGTCCGAGCGATGGCGAGAGCCTGGGCTGGGCCGCCTGCTGGCCACCAGAACCCGAGTTTGCGGAGCTGCCCGGCAACCTGTGCACCGACAGCGTGTGAGCGCGCGTGCACGTGCGCCGTCGCTGTGAAGCGCGGGCCACCTCGAAAAATACATGTGCCGTGCGGCTCTCTGGCGTTGAGCACCACGAAGTTGCCTCCGAAGAGTGCGCGACTGCCAGGCTGCAGAAGGGCACCTACAGTGGCGAACGAGTGTTGCCGGGAGCTTGGTGAGGACAGGCCAGGCCGCTGAGTCTACCGAAACGCACTTGCCTCTGGGTCAGTTCATCGCCATCCCCAGCTGGAGACGCGGCCCCTTGCCACCAGCGGCCTTGGCCGCCGAACCGGCGCTGGCAGCGCGGGTTGGTCACGCCAGCTCTTGCAGCAGGCGCCCTATGCCACTTGGCTCCAGAGGACCCCCGAGTGTCAACTCAGACTCGTCCAAGTCCAGTACTCTCCATATGTGCTTTCGTCGGCAGAGCATGGCGCGTTCCTATGTGCCCACCAGGCCCAGAAAGGAGCGCTGGCAGAGCCGGGCGCTCCTTGCCCCATCCCGCTGACAGCCAGACCAGCACCGCGGCGAAGGCGAGTGGCGATCGACATGGGGAGCCCCCCTCCCAGGGCTGGGCCGGGCGGACGCACGCCAAGAGTCCGCGCGGACATCGGCAGGGAACAGCGCGGTCAGAGGTAAGAGCACCGTCCTCACCACCGAAGGCCCAAAACGCTCCTCCCAATCCCTCCTAGCCACTCGGCGGCAGTCAGGTCACACGATCGATCGGAGGTTCGGGGGTTGGAGCGGAAGTGACCCCAAACGGGGGATCGGTTTCGGTTCGTGTCGTGCGTGCGGGCGAGGCGAAGCTGCGCGAGTTCCATCCATAGTAGAGGCCATCTATTGCCGAAAGGGCCGCCCTCCGAGCGCTGGGCGTGGCCCCTGGTTGTCCCGGCGGTTGTCCCAGCGGTTGTCCCGACGGTTGCCCTGATGGTTGTCCCGATGGTTGTCCCGATGTTTGACAGATAGATAGATGTTGTCCCGATGGTTGGTCATAGTTATATATATATATATATGTATATGTCGGCATAGAGAGCTATATTTATGTATGTAAAGTTATGAGTATAGAGAGGGAGACACATCCATATATGTCTCTCTCTATATATATATATATATATATCGAGAGATATTGAGTGATTTATTGATGGGCTGATCGACTGATCTCTCTATTTATATAGCGAGATAGAAGGTCGCCGTAA